GCCTCGCAGGCCGACCTGGTAAGGCCCAGCCCCCAGGATGGTGGGGGGGGATGACGCAGGCTGCAGGGCGGGGCCAGCCAGGTGGGCCTCACCCGCTGGGCAGCGCCAGGTACAGCCCGGTGAGCACGTTCCTGAACGTCGCCTCCCCCTTGCTAACTTCGCAGCCTGGCACAGCTCTGGGGCTGGCCTGGCAGTGAAGGGGTTAGGGGCAGTTCTGGGTCCTGCTCACGGCTGCCCTCTGCTGGGCGGAGCGGGGCGCGTGTCCCATGCCGGCTGTGCCTGGCCCTGCTGGGGGTGTGGCCAGGGGTCCCAGGGTCACTGCTCGGGTGGAGGTCTGGGCCCCACGGGGCATCCTCAGGCAGCTGCTGCCAGCAGAGGGCTCCCCCGGGTGAGGGCCAACCCTCACGCTCCCTGTCCATCCCTCCCTCCTCCAGGTCACCGCGGAGGAAGCCAGTCTCAGCAAGACGGGGCAGGGGAGACGCACCCGGGGTGAGTGAGTTAGTGCCTCTACCCCGCAAGGGGCGCCAGCCCTGTGAGCCCCTCGGTGCCACTCTCCAGCCCCAGCACCCCCCAATCAGACCCCATCCAGCCCCCCCCCCCCAATCACCCCCCCCCCCAACTCAGACCCCCAATCAGACCCCATCCAGCCCCAACACCCCCCCAATCAGACCCCCCCCACCCCAACCTCGGAACCCCCAATCAGACCCCATCCAGCCCCAACACCCCCCAATCAGACCCCCCCACCCCAACCTCGGAACCCCCAATCAGACCCCACCCAGCGGGGGTAGGATCAGCTCAGGCACCGGAAGGCTGGAGCGGAGGAAATCCCTGGGGTAAGGGCCACCCTGTGTCTGGGGGGCCAGGGCAGGTGGGACCTACAGCCTCTTACCCGCAGCCCTGGGGCTTCATCTTTCTGCTGCTGCTCCTGCCTGGTGCCCCCGGCACTTCGCTGCCCCTGGTGCACTCACCCCCCAGCTTAGTGGTTTGGGAAAAGCAGAAATATTTGTTGCCCCCCCAACCCAGGTGGGACTTGAACCCACAATCCCCAGCTCCGGAAGCTGGTGCCTTATCCATTAGGCCACTGGTATGGGAGCTGCTCTCACACTCACACAGTGACAAGGGCTTGACATTGTTCCACCCCAGCAGAGGCACCAGGCCTGGGGCCACCTGGGTCTTCGGGGCTTCATGACCCATCCCTAAAGTATCCGCCGTTCACTGCTGTCAGAGACGGGCACCAGGGTCGCTGGGCTGAGCCTGTGCAGGAGGGGGCGGGGATCCTGGCAAGCTGGGCCTGGGGGTCTGGGTGGGTGGGGCCGGGGGTCCCAGGCTGGCTGGGCCTGGGGCTGTGGGCAGGGCAGGGGACTCAGGCTGGCTGGGACTGGGGGTGTGGGTGGGGCAGGGGGCCTGGGGTTGGGCCTGGGGGTCTGGATATGTGGGGTGGGGGGCCCCAGGCTGGCGGTGGTCTCTCCATTGGGAGGGGACTGGCCCCTGGCCCAGCCCTGACTGCCCTTCACTCCACAGAGCAGCGCATGATCCCCTACATGATCACCATCGGAGACGCCATCCACAACTTCGCCGACGGGCTGGCCGTGGGGGCCGCCTTCTCCACCTCCTGGAAGACGGGGCTGGCCACGTCGCTGGCCGTGCTGTGCCACGAGCTGCCGCACGAGCTAGGTGGGCGGCTGCCCCGGGGGGTGGGGGAGTCGCCGGATGCTCAGCCAGCGCTGGGCTGCCCCAAGGCCGTGCTGCGGGGTATTCAGCCCAGACCCCCAGGGGAAATTTCCCAGGGACTCCGGCCTGGGACCGGCTCAGAGCCGCTCTTACCGGGCTAGCTGCGGGGTGACTCCAGGCTCCGGCTGGGCCAGCCAGGGGAGGTGACGCCCAGCCCAGGCTGGCGTAGTGGGGGGCGACCGGCCGCCCAGGCGAATGGCAGCCCCCGCTGACGGGCTCTCGTTCCCGCCCTGCCAGGGGACTTCGCGGCTCTGCTGCACGCGGGGCTAAGCGTCAAGAAGGCCTTGCTGCTGAACTTCGGCAGCGCCCTGACCGCCTTCCTCGGCCTCTACATCGCCCTCTCGGTGACGACGGGCGAGGAGTTCCAGGCCTGGATCTTCACCGTGGCCACGGGCCTCTTCCTCTACGTGGCCCTTTGCGACATGGTGAGCGGCTCGCACGCAGGCTTCCCCTGGCTACGGACCCCTGCCCTGCCCCCACGCCCAGCTCGCGAGAGTCCTAATCCAAGGGTCCCGCTGAGAGCTGAGTCTGGGGGTGTGGGGAGCCCAGGGCTGAGCTAGCAGGGGGCTGCGGGTCGGGATTGAGGGGCATCGGCAGAGCTGGGGGAGTGGGGAGCCCAGGGCTGGGCTAGCAGGGGCTGCGGGTCAGGACTGAGGGGTGTCAGCAGAGCTTGAGGGAGGGGGGAGCCCAGGGCTGGGCAAGCAGGGGGCTCCGGGTCGGGATTGAAGGGTGTCGGCATAGTGGCATGGGGGGTAGCCTAGTACTGGCTTTCTCCTCAATGCCCCTCGTTTTCATTAGCCCTCCCCTGCCGTTCCCTGTCACACCCGCCCCCCTCCGTCCAGCCCACGGGCACCGACCTCCCGCTCCCGGCCGGGGGTTCCGGCAGAGCTCCCCAGCTCCGCGGGCTGGCCAGGGCGTCCCATGGCTGGGAGCCCTGCGGGGAAGCCAGGGCAGTGCAGCGAGCACGCGCCCAGTCAGGGCGGATCGGGCTGTGGTGCCGAAAGCGGGGTGGGGACTTGCTAGGGGGCGCGCTCCCTTCAGGGTCCCTAATGGCTGTGGTATGCCGGCCCAGCGCGACGGGGCGCTGCCTTTCGGATGAGACGTGAAACGCAGGCCCCTGCTCTCTTGCACTCAGCAAAGCTCCCAGGGTACTTTCCCGCTGCTGGGGCCTTAGCCCCCTGTCCTGGCCAAACCCCAGTGTGGGCGCTTCCCTTCGGCCCCCCCTGCAGCTGGGATTTATCTGGGCAGTGGTGCTGTGGCCGTGAGCCAGTTGCCCTGACCCACCCCAGAGGTGGCTGCATTTCAGTGGTGGGCGCTGTGAATCCTGCTGGGAGAGCTGTGGGCCCTGCAGTGCTGTAGCCCCTGACCGAGTCGCCCTCACAGTGCAGGGCTGCCAGGGCCACGCGCCCCAGGCTGCGGCTCCGTACCGGGCATGGTGGGTGCAGGCCCTGCCCTAACCCCCCTTTCCCTTCCAGCTGCCCACCATGATGAACGTGAAGGACAAGCGGCCCTGGCTGCTCTTCGCCCTGCACAACCTGGGCCTGCTGGGGGGCTGGGCCATCCTGCTGCTGCTGTCCCTGTATGAGGAGAACCTTACCCTGCTGTGACCCCTGCCCGGCCCCCCATGGACCTGAGCCCACAGGGGGAGGTGGGGCTGCTTCCAGGGGGGAGGGGCACAACCAAGCAATGGGCATGACTGAGGGGAGGCTGCTCTTCAGCGATGCCCGTGGACTGTCTGCAGAGCACCCTGTACCCCTGTCTGTTTGTGCTATTTATTGGGAGAGCAACACCCCCTGGGCCCTGTGCGGGCACTCAGAGGCATGGCACTGTTCACACCCAGCCCCCGGGCCCTGGGTGGGCACTCAGAGGGATGGCATGGTTCACACCCATCCACCCAGCCCCCGCGTGGACACTCAGAGGGATGGCACAGGTCACACCCAGCCCCCAGGCCCTGCGCGGGCACTTAGAGGTGAGGCACCGTTCACTCCCAGGGCAGCCACCCCAAACACAGATCTCAGGGACACTCTTCCCCCACCCCAGGGATCGCCCCTCCCACGGCACTGCTCACCCAGCGTGGCTCCGCTCCCTGGGGCTTGGCTCAGGTCCTGCCGCCCTGCCCCACCCCCTCCAAACTACCCCAGGTGCCCTGCAGGCCATGCAGCTGGGCAGCCCCTCTGGACAGGGATGGCCTGGGGCTCTCTGGAGCAGCCTGTTGCTTGCTCAGTGCCTGGCCCAAGGGGGCCCAATTTCTGCCGGGGCCTCCCGGCGCCACCATCTCACACAGCCCAGCCATAGACCCCAAACTCCCCCCACAGACCCTCTGCCCCACGCTGATCCCACACGGCTGCTCAGTGAAGGAGCCTCATGCCGCCCCCTGCTCACACTCAGCCCTGCCCCGCAGGAGTGGGGAGAGCAGAAGGGGCTGGGAGGAGGCCACTGGCTTGGTTGTGTTGGGGGATCCGTGATGGCTCATGCCAGGCCCGAGTCCCGCAGAGCTCAGCCTGCCCCATGGACAATAAAACGATGCGTCTCCCAAGCTCTCTCTGCCTTGCTGTGGGCGAGGGCTGGGGCTGTGACGGGCCCGGGGCAGGGGGGTGGGACGTGCCCAGGCACCTGTGCCAATGGGGCCCGTAAGTGGCTGAAGGTTCCATCCCCCTCTGCCCGCTGCTCAGAGGCCGTGCCAGGGGCTGGCAGCTCACAGGGCCGGTCCCTGGGAAGGGGTACAGCCTACGCACTGAGTTTTCTTTTCCCCCAAGGGGTGCTCCATGCCTGCTCTGCCCCAAAGCCCTGCCCCACTCTGCTTCTGCTCCGCCCTCATTGTGCCTCTTCCCACTTCTGACCCACCCCCTTCCCTGAGGCTGCACCCTCACTCCACCTCTTCCCACCCTCCGCCCTCCAGGCCCCACCTGCCCACTGCTCCCTGCCCTCCGCCCTCCCTCTCTGACCTGGGAGAGATTTCCTGAGACTCTGGCCCAGGTGGCTCCTGGCCCAGGGCCTGCAGTGCTGGGGGTTGGGGCCGTGCCCCATATGCATCAACTCCAATTGGGTGCTCTGCACCCCCCAACCACAGCTGTTCGGATGGCTCGGGAGGGAGCCCTGGCAGCCAATGAGCCCTGGCTGAACACGCATGGTCCCCTCCATGGGCGTACTTTGACGTCTATTTGGGGGGTCAAGGGGGTTAATAATATATAGAGGCCTAATTTCTGGATTTACCGAATGTTAGTGGTAGTTAAATTATAATGGACTTGAAATCACAAATACAGTTTACATTAATTATTTAATCACCTTTTTTATTTTAACATAATTATTTGCCATGTTTACCAGCTGCCATTGAGAAATCAACATTAGCATAGAAACAAATTCTTGAATAAAGAGAACCAAGCACTCTCATGTAATTATGAATCACGTCTTCCTCGTCTGAGAGTTACATAAACATTGTCTTACTATAGAAATACTGTCTTTATCTTCATGTAGAAGCAATCGTCTTCCCTTGGGTTAGCTTTTCTTGGTTTTCGAGTAAAATAATTTGATGGGCCTAAATTAAAACAGAACAATATTTTACTCAAGTTCAAACTTGTAGAGGTCACAGTCACTTCTCTGTAGGTACTTTGCATCACCCTCTAGAGTCTAATCAAAAATGTTATCCCTGCCATAGGTTTTTAAAGTAATTTCTCAATGCGCTGGATCTAATTCCCATGGAAGTCAATAGCAGTCTTCGGCAAAGTCTACACTACACACTTGCTGTGGTATAATGACGTCACTCGGGGTGTGAAAAATCCACACACCCCCATGCTACATAGTTATAGTGACCCAACCCCCCCCCCCCCCCCCCCCAGCCCCGTAGGCACTGCTGTGTCAGTGGGAGAGCGTCTTTCTTCCATTGGCTTAAAGCATTGTGACGAAGTGGGACTGTTCTTAATGTTTCCTCTGAATACTGTAGGGGTGCCTCAGTTTTCCCTATGCATTTCTAAAGTCTCTAGGTGGTGGGATAAGGGGGAGTAATTGTTGCAAAGGGCCAGTGTACATAAATGGCCAACACTCTGTCTCCTGGCAACTGATGGCCTGGTCCCTTCCCTTCCCCCCTGCAAGGTGAGAGCTAAAGGGTTGGAGAACAAAGGAACTTGGTGACCTCCTGGCCCGGAAAAGGGACAAAGCCCAGAGGAGGAGGGGCTGGAGTGGAGTCAGTTTGGACAGGCTGGGGACGTGGAGTGAAGTACACATGTGGTTGTCTGGCTCACTGCCCCCAAAATGGATCCAGCTGAGAGGTCCGGTTCTCTGCACCTACAAGCTCTATTTTAGATCATTTTCCTGTTGTCTAATAAACCTTCTGTTTTCCTGGCTGGCTGAGAGTCACGTCTGACTGCGAAGTTGGGGGGCAGGACCCTCTTGCTTCCCCAGGACCCCGCCTGGGCGGACTCGCTGTGGGAAGCGCACGGAGGGGCAGAGGATGCTGAATGCTCCGAGGTCAGACCCAAGAAGGTGGAAGCCGTGTGAGCTTTTTGCCCTGCAGACAGGCTGCTCCCAGAGAGGAGCCTTCCCCAGAGTCCTGCCTGGCTTCATGGGGAGCAATTCCAGAGCATCGCCCGGGGACCCCGTGACAAGCATCTTCTCCAGACCCCTACAGCAGTGCAGCTCCATCTGTGAAATTGACAAGAATGGACATGAATTTAGTAGGGCCCTACCAGGATGTGTCTAAAGACACCTCTTGATTCTGTACAACTGCTCCATTTAGGTGTCCAGCGAACCTGGGTCCGCTTGAAAGCGAGGACCTGAAATCACAGGAACTTCCGTTGAATTCAGCTTTCAGTTTGTCCCCAGACTCCGGGCAAGCAGGCAGGAAGGGAAGAAAAGGGAAAGAAACATCTACAAAACAAGATTTGTATGGCCCACTCCAAACTGAGTTCTCCTTATGGCACCTGTATCTTACCCTTTGCACGAAGCAGATCTGCCTGCATCGCTTGCCACAGAGTTAATGGTATTTTTAATAACCACATTGTATTTATTATCCTTACAAAATGGAAATAAAACCCTTATATGACATATGATCAAATATGTCTTTCAGAAAGACCAGGAGATAAATTTTCTCTTTCCCTGTGTCATGTTCTCCTGGGATGGGAGGGCTGCTATCTTTTGTTGCTGTTCAGTAAAACAAGTCTAAACTGTTTTTTCAGCCCAAAACAGACCATGCCCAGTGTAATGATGCTGGTTCTGGTGGGACCCAACTGAGAGTGCCAATTCAGGACAAATTGCTTCAAGCAGGGCGGTTACAGCCCCAGGCTGGGGTTTCTGTGCACACCAAGGCAAACCAAACCAGCCAGACAGAGAAGACCTTGGTTTTACCCCACTGGCTAACCACAAGTCACACAAGCAATTCCCTTAGACACTCCAGTTTCCCAGTATCACCACCAGTGCTCCTCGTTATGGGGACGAATGGTTATGAAAACCAATACCCCAGTAAAAGAAAAAGGTTCTCTCGATCCCAAAGGACCAAGCCCCGGACCCAGGTCAATATACAAATCAGATCTTACCCACAAATCATGCTGTTGCCAATCCTTTAGAATCTAAAATCTAAAGCTTTATTCATAAAAGGAAAAGGATAGAGGTGAGAGCTAGAATGGGTGAAATGGAATCAATGACATACAGTAACGGCCAAGTTCTTGGTTCAGGCTTGTAGCAGGGATGGAATAAACGGCAGGTTCAAATCCAGTCTCTGGAGTCCATCCACAGCGGGGATGTGTCCTTCAGTCCTTGGTTCAAAGCTTCAGTGTAGCAATGTCCCTCCAGAGGTAGGAAGCAGGATTGAAGACAAGATGGAGGAGCTGCAGCAGCCTTTTATAGTCTTTTGCCATGTGGTCTGTCTTTCTTTGTCCCAAAGACAAGCTGTCCATCCCATGGCCTGGAAAAACCTCAGAGTTCTGTCCCTAGGCAGGTCCCTGCCTACCTTGCTGAGTCCCAAGGGGCGTCTGCCTTCTCTTAATGGGTCAGTTGTACAGCGGATGGTCCTTAATGGGCCATCAAGCAGGCTAGGCAGAGCTGTCATCAACTTGTCTGGGGTGTCACCCAGAAGCATAGCATACAGACAGTATAGAGCCAATACATATATCTTTAAATACAAAAATGATACATGCAAACAGATCGCATAATCCTAACCAGCAAACCATAACCTCATCTTAGACGCCTTATTTGACCCCCTTTATACATGATTTGGTGCCACTACAGGATCTTGGTTGCAACGATGTTCTATATGGTCCCAGTTCAAGTCAATAACGTCACACCCAGTAATTATGCTTTGCTTCAACACATGCAATGCCCACATCAAACCACTGCTAAAGCCTGTCCCCTGCCCCTCCATGCCAGGTGCACCAGGATAGTGAGCAAGAGACACAGTCTCACAGGCATGCCCAGCTGTGCCCTCCAAGCCAGATATGGGGCAGGCAGGCTCAGCCTGGCAGGATTCTAGTTCTCAGATGTGGGGGGGATGTGGATGCACAGGGGCTCATTGGAGGATTCTGGGTGCAGGGGGAATGGGACTCTACAGGGGGAGTCCAGGTGAAGGTGGTTGGAGCTCCGTGGGGGGCTGTCTGGGTGCTGGGGGGAGGGCTTAGCAGGTGCGGTCCAGATGCATGACAGTTGGGCAGAAGGGGGGGAAACTTCCCATACAGTGACCCCGCCCCCCATGGGTAAGGAGCGATGGGGGCAGGAAGCAGGGGGGAGTGCAAAGCTTCCTGCAACTGGGGGAGGCTCCTGGGGGTAGGTCTGACCACCCCAGCGGCTCCCTGCAAGGGAAGTCCTGTCCCCCCATCTAGCAGCTGAGTGCTCCCCTGGGTTGGGAAGCAGCCTGGAAGCCTGGCTCTCCTCGCTGAAAACAGCCATGGTCCATGTGGGAAACTGACCAGCGGGCACAGAGTGCCCCCCCAAGCACATTCCTTCTGCCGCCCTAATGGCCTGGCAGGAAGGGGCAAGCAGTGACTCCAGGGGCTCTGTGCCTGCTGGTCACTTTCCCCGCGTGAGCTGCGAGGGAGCTGATCCCTGCCCTTCCCTTAGGCAGCCCACATGGGCAAACTGATCAGCAGGCACCTGGAATCCCCGCCCCCGGATCCGACGGCTCCTCCGCGGGGGGAACAGGGCTAGGGGACAAATCCGGGTGCTCCCCTGCACATCCCCCCTGCAATGCACCCAGTGTGTGTGGGGGCATGTTCCCTTATAACATACCCATAACCTCCTCCCATGCCACTCAGCGAGAGCCATGCTAGGGATGGCCCCTCTCTGATAGCCCGGTGGGCCCTGCCTACTGCTCCCGGACCCAGGCCTACACCCCCACCCACTGGTCCCAGGCTAAGCCCCTGTGCCTGCCCCACACCTACTGCCCCCTGGTCCCGGGCTCAGCCCCTGTGCCTGCCCCACTAGTGGTTTCCCCAGGAATTGAAATGGGGGGGGGGGGTTCAAATTTACAGGGGGTGTGTGTCAGGGCTGATGAAGGGTGAGACCATGAGGGTGAAGGTGGGCTGTATGGCACCATAGTAAAAACTGAAAAATGTTTCATGACCATTTTATTAGATTTAACTCATGTTTTAAAATCACACAAATTAAAGCTTTTGACACGGTCTCCCACAGTATTCTTGTCAGCAAGTTAAAGAAGTACGGGCTGGATGAATGCACTATAAGGTGGGTAGAAAGCTGGCTAGATTGTCAGGCTCAAAGGGTAGTGATCAATGGCTCCATGTCTAGTTGGCAGCCAGTATCAAGTGGAGTACCTTAGGGGTCGGTCTTGGGGCCGGTTTTGTTCAATATCTTCATAAATGATCTGGAGGATGGTGTGGATTGCACTCTCAGCAAATTTGCGGATGATACTAAACTGGGAGGAGTGGTAGATATGCTGGAGAGCAGGGATAGGATACAGAAGGACCTAGACAAATTGGAGGATTGGGCCAAAAGAAATCTGATGAGGTTCAATAAGGACAAGTGCAGGGTCCTGCACTTAGGACGGAAGAACCCAATGCAGCGCTACAGATTAGGGACCGAATGGCTAGGCAGCAGTTCTGCGGAAAAGGACCTAGGGGTGACAGTGGACGAGAAGCTGGATATGAGTCAGCAGTGTGCCCTTGTTGCCAAGAAGGCCAATGGCATTTTGGGATGTATAAGTAGGGGCATAGCGAGCAGATCGAGGGACGTGATCGTCCCCCTCTATTCAACATTGGTGAGGCCTCATCTGGAGTACTCTGTCCAGTTTTGTGCCCCACACTACAAGAAGGATGTGGATAAATTGGAGAGAGTCCAGCGAAGGGCAACAAAAATGATTAGGGGTCTGGAACACATGACTTATGAGGAGAGGCTGAGGGAACTGGGATTGTTTAGTCTGCAGAAGAGAAGAATGAGGGGGGATTTGATAGCTGCTTTCAACTACCTGAGAGGTGGTTCCAGAGAGGATGGTTCTAGACTGTTCTCAGTGGTAGAAGAGGACAGGACAAGGAGTAATGGTCTCAAGTTGCAGTGGGGGAGGTTTAGGTTGGATATTAGGAAAAAAATTTTCACTAGGAGGGTGGTGAAACACTGGAATGGGTTACCTAGGGAGGTGGTAGAATCTCCTTCCTTAGAAGTTTTTAAGGTCAGGCTTGACAAAGCCCTGGCTGGGATGATTTAATTGGGGATTGGTCCTGCTTTGAGCAGGGGGTTGGACTAGATGACCTCATGAGGTCCCTTCCAACCCTGATATTCTATGATTCTATGAAAGTTGGCTACTCAAGCATTCTATGAAGCACTACGTCTACATCCTTCTTGGTTTCTTGTTATAATTTTGCACAACTCTGTTAATGAACTTCTTGAATGCCATGCGTTCATCTTTGGTGGCTTCCCATGGGTCCGGTACTTCCATTTCTTCAATTGATACGCTCACTAGTTCATTCACAGGATCAGGCAGAAGGCGACTTCTTTCAGAACACAAAATTCTCGTCAATGATGAAAAAGAACGCTCAGCTGTAGCTGTTGTGACTGGGAGTAGCAAGAGATGAATTCCTACTTCCTTCATCCCAGGAAACAGAGCACAAAGATTGGGTCGAGCCACTAGTGATGATAAAAAAGAAGTTGAAGTCAAATCTTCATTCATTCGTCGTATGATATTCCACTCTGTGTTCGAATTCTCTATTTTGTCCTGAGCACATGGCAGCCCCATGGCTGGTCGTGCCTCACTCCACTCCGCTGTCAGTGTTTTATAGGACAGGGATCTGTAAAAGCTGCGTAGATGGTGAGTAGAATCTAGAAGTCGCTGTTGTAGATTTTTAAGAATCAAGGCTGTGTACTTTTTCAGTTGTCTTAACAAACACTTCTTGTCTTCTTCACTTAAGGATTCAGTACAAATGCCTTCATTAGTCAACTTCTGGACTGAAGTCTTTGCTTCTTCCAGTACTTTTTCAATGGATAGCTCTCTGATTGATCCAAATGTAGCCTCTCTTGCTGGACAAAGATCTACTACTGTTGTAGCAGATGCCTGGATGGCATTGTTTAATGATCCAAGTGGTTTCAACAGTAGACTTAAGAGAGAGAGAATGGCAATAGTCTTCTCTGAATGTAGTATCAAAAGTAATCCACCAGCCTCACTACTTAGATCCATCCCACGTTGGTAGATACTTTCCAAAGCCAGTAATAATGGCTGGAGTACTTTTAAGACAACAGCCAAGGATCGCTCATGAGAAAGCCAGCGGGTTTTCCCAGGTTGGACTAATTTGAACTTCAGTCCCAGTGTATCTTCTATATTTTCCAAGATATTCAGTCTTTTTGGACTCTTGCTGAAAAAAGAATACAATGAAGACATTAAATTTATAGCTTTTTTAATGTCTTTTGAAGATTTTGCAGTTCGTACTTGTGCTAGTTGGAGTAGATGGCCTCTGCCGTGCGTATAGGAGAGAACAGGGTTACACTTTTCTCTGAGCAAAGCTTGTACTCCACCATGTCTTCCAGAGAAGTTTGCAGCTCCATCAAATGCACAAGCAGCCATCTGTCTGGGGTCCAACTGACAAGCATTTAACTCTCCTAAGATGTGGGTTGTCACAGATGCAGCCCATGTGTCTTCTATAACTTGAAGATGTAGAAATGCAACTGGCCTACCCCTGACATCAAGATAACACACACAATGACTTAATACTTTATGCCCATTTGCACCGGTTCATTCATCAGCCATGTATGCAAATTTTTTGAATGTGGTGAGAGCTCTTCACTTTTTCAGCTGCTGAGTCTTTCACTGTTGCACCGCATGCTCCTAGCCAGTCAGTTGAGCTTCTTGCAGAAAGACAATGAGCATTTGCTGGTCTTTTTCGGAACCAGTGTTCAACTCCAGGATGAACAAGTGACAATGCACTTCACATTGGCCTCCAGTTTGTAGTGTCTCTTGCTTAAATAGAAAGTAGGATGCCACAGCCATGTTTGTTCGCATAAACTGTGTTGTGTCTCCAACATTCTTATCAGCCTCATTAAGTATGTCTAAAATTGGCTTTGAAAAGGGGCTTATAAGGCTTTCTGCATGTTGATGCACTCCAGAGGCCTGGTGTTTTGCAGCCTTTTCACGTACTTTGTCAACATTGGCTTTGCTGATCGGTCTGACAAACCCAGCTCCTCCACTTTTACCAATTGTAGCATTGGGAAGCTTTCCTTCTTCATAAGCTTTTTTGCAAGAGGTGCACCAGTAGCCATCTTTTGTAACTTCAATAAATGGGAACACTTTGACCGACAAACATTGGGAACTGCCTTTAGGTCTTGGAGACACGGTTTCTTCAGTAGGTAACTGTATTCGTGCTTTGGGCTGGTCGGATGTAGATCCACCACTTGAACCTTCAGATGACATGTTGATATATTCTTGGTTCTTGACGTGTTCTTCACCTTGGTTAGTTTTTGAGGCCTTTGAGTGGAAAACCTGTTGTATTGTTTTTTGTCTTTTCATTTTCACTTTGACCTGCAACATATAAAAGAGATATGAATAAACTAAATGTTTTGTTAGGATAATGCAAATTTAACATCATGATAATGCAAGTTACACCAAAACACATAACAGGTCTAGATTTCTAAAAAAATATAAATTAAAAAAAATGTATTTAATTTAAATTGACTTTTGAAAAGTAAGCCATCATGGGATAAGAGGGAAGGTCCTCTCATGGATCAGTAACTGGTTAAAAGATGGCAAACAAAGGGTAGGAATAAATTATCAGTTTTCAGAATGGAGAAAGATAAATAGAGGTGTCCCTGAGGGGTCGGTACTGGGACCATTACTGTTCAACATATTCATAAATGATCTGGAAAAAGGCGTAAACAGTGAGGGGGCAAAATCTGCAGATGATCAAAACTATTCAAGATAGTTAAGTCCCAGGCAGACTGTGAAGAGCTACAAAGGGATCTCACAAAACTGGGTGACTGGGCAACAAAATGGCAGATAAAATTCAATGTTGATAAATGCAAAGTAATGCACATTGGAATCATAGAATATAAGGTTTGGAAGGGACCCCAGGTGGTCATCTAGTCCAACCCCCTGCTCGAAGCAGGACCAAATCCCAGTTAAATCATCCCAGCCAGGGCTTTGTCAAGCCTGACCTTAAAAACCTCTAAGGAAGGAGATTCTACCACCTCCCTAGGAAACGCATTCCAGTGTTTCACCACCCTCTTAGTGAAAAAGTTTTTCCTAATATCCAATCTAAACCTCCCCCACTGCAACTTGAGACCATTACTCCTCGTTCTGTCATCTGCTACCATTGAGAACAGTCTAGAGCCATCCTCTTTGGAACCCCCTTTCAGGTAGTTGAAAGCAGCTATCAAATCCCCCCTCATTCTTCTCTTCTGCAGGCTAAACAATCCCAGCTCCCTCAGCCTCTCCTCATAACTCATGTGTTCCAGACCCCTAATCATTTTTGTTGCCCTTCGCTGGACTCTCTCCAATTTATCCACATCCTTCTTGAAGTGTGGGGCCCAAAACTGGACACAGTACTCCAGATGAGGCCTCACCAATGTCGAATAGAGGGGAACGATCACGTCCCTCGATCTGCTCGCTATGCCCCTACTTATACATCCCAAAATGCCATTGGCCTTCTTGGCAATAAGGACACACTGCTGACTCATATCTAGCTTCTCATCCACTGTCACCCCTAGGTCCTTTTCCGCAGAACTGCTGCCTAGCCATTCGGTCCCTAGTCTGTAGCTGTGCATTGGGTTCTTCCGTCCTAAGTGCAGGACCCTGCACTTATCCTTATTGAACCTCATCAGATTTCTTTTGGCCCAATCCTCCAATTTGTCTAGGTCCTTCTGTATCCTATCCCTCCCCTCCAGCGTATCTACCACTCCTCCCAGTTTAGTATCATCCGCAAATTTGCTGAGAGTGCAATCCACACCATCCTCCAGATCATTTATGAAGATATTGAACAAAACCGGCCCCAGGACCGACCCTTGGGGCACTCCACTTGATACCGGCTGCCAACTAGACATGGAGCCATTGATAACTACCCGTTGAGCCCGACAATCTAGCCAGCTTTCTACCCACCTTATAGTGCATTCTTCCAGCCCATACTTCCTTAACTTGCTGACAAGAATACTGTGGGAGACCGTGTCAAAAGCTTTGCTAAAGTCAAGAAACAATACATCCACTGCTTTCCCTTCATCCACAGAACCAGTAATCTCATCATAAAAGGGGATTAGATTAGTCAGGCATGACCTTCCCTTGGTGAATCCATGCTGGCTGTTCCTGATCACTTTCCTCTCATGCAAGTGCTTCAGGATTGATTCTTTGAGGACCTGCTCCATGATTTTTCCAGGGACTGAGGTGAGGCTGACTGGCCTGTAGTTCCCAGGATCCTCCTTCTTCCCTTTTTTAAAGATTGGCACTACATTAGCCTTTTTCCAGTCATCTGGGACTTCTCCCGTTCGCCACGAGTTTTCAAAGATAATGGCCAATGGCTCTGCAATCACAGCCGCCAATTCCTTCAGCACTCTCGGATGCAACTCGTCCGGCCCCATGGACTTGTGCACATCCAGCTTTTCTAAATAGTACCTAACCACCTCTATCTCCACAGAGGGCTGGCCATCTCTTCCCCATTTTGCGATGCCCAGCGCAGCAGTCTGGGAGCTGACCTTGTTAGTGAAAACAGAGGCAAAAAAAGCATTGAGTACATTAGCTTTTTCCACATCCTCTGTCACTAGGTTGCCTCCCTCATTCAGTAAGGGGCCCATACTTTCCTTGGTTTTCTTCTTGTTGCCAACATACCTGAAGAAACCCTTCTTGTTACTCTTGACATCTCTGGCTAGCTGCAGCTCCAGGTGCGATTTGGCCCTCCTGATATCATTCCTACATGCCCGAGCATTATTTTTATACTCTTCCCTGGTCATATGTCCAACCTTCCACTTCTTGTAAGCCTCTTTTTTATGTTTAAGATCCGCTAGGATTTCACCATTAAGCCAAGCTGGTCGCCTGCCATATTTACTATTCTTTCGACTCATCGGGATGGTTTGTCCCTGTAACCTCAACAGGGATTCCTTGAAATACAGCCAGCTCTCCTGGACTCCTTTCCCCTTCAAGTTAGTCCCCCAGGGGATCCTGGCCATCCGTTCCCTGAGGGAGTCGAAGTCTGCTTTCCTGAAGTCCAGGGTTCGTATCCTGCTGCTTACCTTTCTTCCCTGCGTCAGGATCCTGAACTCAACCAACTCATGGTCACTGCCTCCCAGATTCCCATCCACTTTTGCTTCCCCCACTAATTCTACCCGGTTTGTGAGCAGCAGGTCAAGAAAAGCGCCCCCCCTAGTTGGCTCCTCTAGCACTTGCGCCAGGAAATTGTCCCCTACGCTTTCCAAAAACTTCCTGGATTGTCTATGCACCGCTGTATTGCTCTCCCAGCAGATATCAGGAAAATTAAAGTCACCCATGAGAATCAGGGCATGCGATCTAGTAGCTTCCGTGAGCTGCCGGAAAACAATCTCAACTATACATACAAAATGATGGAGTCTGAACTAGCTGTTACCACTCAAGAAAGAGATCTTGGAGTCATTGTGGATGGTTCTCTGACAACATCCACTCAGTGTGCAGCGGCAGTCAAAAAAAGCAAACAGAATGTTGGGAATCATTAGGAAAGGGATAGATAATAAGACAGAAAAGATCATATTGCCTCTCTATAAATCCATGGTACATGCACACCTTGAATACTGTGTGCAGATCTGGTCACCCCATCCCAAAAAAAGATATATTGGAATTGGAAAAGGTACAGAGATGGGCAACTAAAATGATTAGGGGTATTAAACAGGAGGAGAGATTAAAATGACTGGGAATGTTCAGCTTAGAAAAGAGATGACTAAGGGGGGAAATATGATAGAGGTCTATAAAATCTTGACTGGTGTGAAGAAAGCGAATAAGGAAATGTTATTTAATCCTTCATATAACACAAGAACTAGCAGTCACCCAATGAAATTAATAGGCAGCAGATTTTTAAAAAAACAAAAGGAAGTACTTCTTCACACAACATAAAATCAACCCGTGGAACTCTTTGCCAAGGGATGCTGTGAAGACCAAAACTATAACAGGATTAAAAAAAGAACTAGATAAATTTCTGGAGACTAGGTCCATCAGTGGCTATTAGCCAGGATGGGGAGGGATGCAACACCATGCTCTGAGTGTCCCTAGCCTGTTTGCCAGAAGCTGGGAATGGGCAACAGGGGATGGATCATTTGATGGTTACCTGTTCTGTTCATTCCCTCTGAAGCACCTGGTCTTGACCACTGTCAGAAGACAGGATACTGGGCTAGATGGACCATTAGTCTGACCCAGTATGACCATTCTTATGTAAAAAATAATTATAATAATAAAAATGTTTAGTACAGAAACTCCCCAACATAATGACCTCTCAAGATAGCAACGAGGTGAGATAACAACCTTGGCAAATAATGCATTTTAAAAATCTTGGCCTACTAGGAAACATATGTCTACAAGTTTCCATTCCCGGTCACAAATCTAGCATTCTGGAGCAAAGTCACTAAAATATAGTCCAACAAACAAATGTTTATTTAACGTGCCCCTCGCTTTTCCCTCCACCGCACCCCACTCATCAGTGTTGTCCTTGGTCAGTGGAGACTCAGAGTTCAGAGGTGCTTTCACGTGAGTTCACCTCCCAGGTGGGGGGCAAGAAGGCACCTTGCTTGTTCCTCCAGCTGCTCCCTGCTCGCTCTGACCACTGCTGTTCGTTCTGCCACCGTTTACGCCACCGCTCTGTTGCCAATGGCCCTGCCCCATCACCATCTGCTGCCACCAGCCCCTGTGCCTGCCCCATGCCCCCGGGCTCAGCCCCGGTGCCTGCCCCGCTCCCCCAGTCCCAACCCCCGTACCTGCCCCCTGGTCCCAGCCTCTGTGCCTGTCCCACGCCCCCCGGTCCCAGCCCCTGTGCCTGCCCCATGCCCCCTGCCACTGGGCTCAGCCCCTGTGCCTGCCCCGGCGCCCCCTGCCCCTGGGCTCAGCCCCTGGGCCTGTCCCACGCCCCCTGCCACCGGGCTCAGCCCCGGTGCCTGCCCCACTCCCCCAGTCCCAACCCCCGTACCTGCCCCATGGTCCCAGCCTCTGTGCCTGTCCCACGCCCCCCGGTCCCAGCCCCTGTGCCTGCCCCATGCCCCCTGCCACTGGGCTCAGCCCCTGTGCCTGCCCCGCGCCCTCCTGCCCCTGGGCCTGCCCCGTGCCCCCCTGCCCCTGGGCTCAGCCCCTGGGCCTGCCCCGCTCCCCCAGTCCCAACCCCCGTACCTACCCCATGGTCCCAGCCTCTGTGCCTGTCCCACACCCCCCGGTCCCAGCCCCTGTGCCTGCCCCATGCCCCCTGCCACTGGGCTCAGCCCCTGTGCCTGCCCTGCGCCCCCTGCCCCTGGGCCTGCCCCGCACCCTCCTGCCCCCTGGGCTCAGCCCCGCACCCTCCTGCCCCCTGGTCCCAGCCTCTGTGCCTGCCCCATGCCCCCTGCCCCTGGGCTCAGCCCCTGTGCCTGCCCCACGCCCCCTGCCCCTGGGCTCAGCCCCTGGGCCTGCCCCGCGCCCCCCTGCCCCTGGGCTCAGCCCCTGGGCCTGCCCCGCGCCCCCCTGCCCCTGGGCTCAGCCCCTGGGCCTGCCCCACGCCCCCTGCCCCGTTCCCCCAATCCCACGCCCCCCAGTCCCAGTCACTGGGCCTGCCCCACGCCCCCCCTGCCCCTGGGCTCAGCCCCTGGGCCTGCCCCGCACCCTCCTGCCCCTGTGCCTGCCCCGCCCCCCTGCCCCTGGGCTCAGCCCCTGTGCCTGCCCCACACCCCCTGCCCCGTTCCCCCAATCCCACGCCCCCCAGTCCCAGTCACTGGGCCTGCCCTACGCCCCCCTGCCCCTGGGCTCAGCCCCTGGGCTCAGCCCTTGCCTGCCCCACGCCCCCTGCCCCGTTCCCCCAATCCCACGCCCCCAGTCCCAGTCACTGGGCCTGCCCCACGCCCCCTGCCCCTGGGCTCAGCCCCTGGCTCAGCCCCTGGCCTGCCCCCCCCCCTGCCCCGGGCTCAGCCCTGGGCCTGCCCCACGCCCCCCCTGCCCCTGGGCTCAGCCCCTGGGCCTGCCCCGCGCCCCCTGCCCCTGGGCTCAGCCCCTGGGCCTGCCCCGCACCCCCAGTCCCAACCCCTGTACCTGCCCCACGCCCACCGGTCCCAGCCCCTGGGCCTGCCCCATGCCCCAGGGCTCCGTCACGGCGCGCGGCCAGCGCTCGTCGAGCCGGGCAGGGAACCCAGGCGTCCGGGCGCAGAGGGGCGGGACGCCCCTGGGGACCCCGGTTCGAACCCCCGCAAGCGGGAGACGGGCGGCGCAGGCGCAGGCGCAATCCACCCCCCTCCCCGCGAGAGGGCGGGGCTGGCCCTGGCTCTATGGTCCCGGCTAGGCCCGCCCCCTCGCGGCCACTCTAGCTCTGACGTCGCTGCGCTCTATGGTGGCCTCAGCCCGGCGCGGGACCTGGCGCTTCCGGCGGCGGCTGCATGAGGAGACTCCGGGGGGGGCGGGCAGGTGAGGGGCGGGGGGGCCGTCCGTGGCCGCAGGGGGGTCTCGGGGGGGCGGTCTGGGGGGTGAGGGGGGTGATCCGGGGGGGGTAGTGTGTGTGGAGGGGTGTCTGGGGTGGTAGGGGGAGGGTGTGTGGATTCTGGGGATCCCTGAGGGGGGGGGGTGGTCTGGTGGAGGGGGTGGAGGGGTCGGGGGGGTGATCCCTGGGGGGGGGGTCTGGGGGGTGACGGGGTGGGTGGTGGGGATGAGGGGGTCCCTGTGGAGGGGGGGTCCCTGTGGGAGTGAGGGGGTGATCCCTGGGGGGCGTGGGGGGTCCGAACGGGTAGGGGTGTGTGGGAGGGGTCCCTGGGGGGGTGGTCTGTGGGGTGAGGGGGTGATCCTGGGGGGGCGTGGGGGTAGCTGTGTGTGGAGGGGTCCCTGGAGGGGTGGTCTGTGGGGTGAGGGGGTGATCCCGAGAGGGCATGGGGGGGTAGCTGTGTGTGGAGGGGTCCCTGGGGGGTGGTCTGTGGGGTGAGGGGGTGATCCCGGGGGGGCGTGGGGGGGTAGCTGTGTGTGGAGGGGTCCCTGGAGGGGTGGTCTGTGGGGTGAGGGGGTGATCCCGGGGGGCGTGGGGGGGTAGCTGTGTGTGGAGGGGTCCCTGGGGGGGTGGTCTGTGGGGTGAGGGGGTGATCCCGGGGGCATGGGGGGGTAGCTGTGTGTGGAGGGGTCCCTGGGGGGTGGTCTGTAGGGTGAGGGGGTGATCCCGGGGGGCGTGGGGGGGTAGCTGTGTGTGGAGGGGTCCCTGGAGGGGTGGTCTGTGGGGTGAGGGGGTGATCCCGGGGGGCGTGGGGGGGTAGCTGTGTGTGGAGGGGTCCCTGGGGGGGTGGTCTGTGGGGTGAGGGGGTGATCCCGAGAGGGCATGGGGGGGTAGCTGTGTGTGGAGGGGTCCCTGGGGGGTGGTCTGTAGGGTGAGGGGGTGCTCTGTGTCCCTCCAGGGGGAAGTGCCCAGATGACAGGGCACCCTTGCTATATTGTTCACATCCAGAGCCGATGTGGGGAGAGGTGGTTGCAGACTGGCATAGCCGCCCCTCACCCCCAGCCTGTGTCCTGGGCCCCAGGGAAGGTTTAATGCTGAGCCATGAACATGTGGGACTGTGTCCTGGGGAATGGTCCTTCCCGCCCTGCAGCCTGGGGGTTAACAGCCCCCCTCGTTCTGCCCCAGCATCAGGCGCTGATTGGTGCCGGGAGATTCCTTGGCTAAGGTGGTGTGGAGGTTTCCATTTGAAACAGGTCTCAAATCTTGCTTGGGAAATTTGGCTGCCATAATGTCTTTAGCCCAAGAGCCAGTGACTCCCCCAGAGGAGCAGGGTGAAGATGTTCCCTGGGGGAAACGTTTACCTCACGATTGGCAGGAGGCTCAGGCTGCCAAGGCAGGGCCTGTTCTTATGGCCAAGGATCTGGTGTGCGCAAGGGAGAAGGATTGGTCTCTGGGCTGTCACCCTTTTGCAGCGCTAGGCTCTCTCACCATCTCGCAGGGCCTGGGACAGCAGTAGTCTCTCTGGCAACCCTAGGGTTATCGGTGGTTCTCACAGCCGATTTGTCTTTCTCTTTCCTTTGTGACCCTGGGCAGGTTGGTGGCCTTGACGTTCCCCGGGGATGTATGCGGTGTACAGACAAGCCCACCCCCCTACGGGGGTGGAGTTCTCCATGTACTGCAACTTCTTCTCCAACGCGGAGCGCAACCTGGTAGTGGCAGGAACGTCTCAGCTCTATGTGTACAGGCTCAACCATGACTCAGAGGTACCTTGTCCTCTTGCCAAACCATCCAGCAATCCCACCCAGCCCTCTGTGTCTTTCTGTGCTGCAGCTGTTTCTACAGATCCTATCTATGTGCGTCTACAGGTTGCCTGTGATACCAGGGACAGGACTCAGTGACTCAGGAGGTCCCTTACAATCCTGTGTTCCTAACTCAAATCCAATTTGTGTTTTAATCAAATTAAAGCATTATATTTTTTGACCCCTGGGACCTCAGAACTAATTCTTCTCTGAGTGGAGGTGCATAACCATAAAAGCTTTGGACACCTTCCAGGAAATTTCATTCATAAATCACAAAGGAGAGAGAAAATCTGGAACTGTGTTTGTAAATTATTATTATTATTGTTTATTACTTGTATTTCCATAGTGCCTAGGAGCCTTAGTCATGGACCAGGACCTCCCTATGCTAGGGGCTGTACAAACAACAAAAATGCAGGTCCTATCTCAGTAAGCTTCCTAAGTATAAGACAAGATACAACAGATGGATACAGACACACGGGAGAGTACAAAGAAGCACTGAGACAGCATTGTTGAGCATGATAGGCTGTGGTCTCAGCCCACCAGCAGCCTAACTGTTAAGATTTTTGTAGGCCTCATGGCAAAGGAGAACTTTGAGGAGGGTTTTGAAGGAGGATGATGAGGTAGTTTTGTGGATGTTTACAGCGAGTGCTTCCCAAGCATGAGGGACAGCAGGGCAGAAAGCACGAAGGAGCTTGTTTGAAAATTACTCCTGAGGGAATTCTGCACCAAAAAAATAAAAATTCTGTGCACAATATTTTAAAATTCTGCAAAATTCTGCATATTTTATTTGACAATAAATGTGGAGGCTCCGGTATGGCAGTGGGGAACACAGGCTGCTGGCTGCACTGAGGTGGGAGATTACCCTGCAGTCTCCCCTCCCCCTGACACAGATTTGGCCGTGGGGCTGTACCTGACCCTGCTGTAGCGCAAGGGCCAGGCCTGTCCCAGAAACACCCTGGGGCCCTGCCCCTCCTACTGCTGAGGGCATTCTGTGCCAAAAATATAAAAATTCTGCACACAATATTTTAAAATTCTGCAAATTATATTTGTCAAATAAATGTGGAACACTGCATTGGAGAGCACAGGCCTCTGGCTCTACAGAGGTGGGAGATCAGTGTGCAGCTCATCCCCGCACATGGACTCGGCAGTGAGGCTGCACCCAATCCTGACACAGCGCAAGGACCAGGCCTGCTACAGAATCACTCCAGGGCCATGCCCCTCTGTGCCAAGTGCACCAGGTGTGGGCAGGCAGGCTCAGCAAGGCAGGACCCAAGTGTGGAGGGGTTTAGTATGTGTGGGGGATCGAGCTGTGGGTTGAGAGGGTTCTGTGTGGGGCAATCTGGATGCGAGTAGCTCAGTGGGGGATGCAGGTGTAGGGGGATCTGGATGCACAGGGGCTTGTTGGTGGGGGCGTTCTGAGTGCAACAGTAATGGGACTCTGCAGGGGTGTCCAGGTGAAGGTGGTTGGGGCTCAGCGGGGGGGTGTCTGGGTGTGGGGGCAATAGAGCTTGGCAGGAGGTATGGGTGTGTGTGTGGGGGCTCAGTGGAGGGTCCAGGTGCAGCTGGTTGGGGTTTGGTGGGGGTGGGGATCTGGGTGTGGATTGCTCGTCAGGGTGGTCCAGGTGCAGGGGGTGTGGGGCTCATTGAGGATGGGGGTTTTCTGAGTGCGGGAGTCTGAAGCTCAGTGGGAGGGACTGGGTATGAGGGGGTCTGGATGCACAGCAGATGGGGGAGCAGCTCCCTGTACAGGGATCCCAGCTCCTGCAGCTGAGGAGCGATGGGTGCAGGAAGTGTGTGTGTGGGGGAGAGTTTGCAGAGCTTCCTTCAGCCAGGGGAGAAATCTGGGGGTGGGTGTCTGACCCAGCCCCAGATGCTCTGCAGGGGAAAAGGAAGTTCCATCCTCCCCAGCCTAGCCGAGACTAGCAACTAAGCCTGGTGCAGGGTAGAGCCGCAAGCCGGGTCTTCCTGAGTCCTGCCTCACAGTGATTTACCTCTCTGCTGGTTGCCCTGGGCCCCCGAAACATAGTGCTGGGGAGGGTCGCATGACCACTCTTGTGGGTTCCCTTTGCTTCCCCGTCTGAAAGTCATTTTTCTGCAGGGAAGCAAAGAAATCTGCAGGGGACATAAATTCTGCACATGCGCAGTGGCACAGAATTCCCACAGGAGAATCCTCCAGACTAGGTGCACCAAGATAGCAAACAAGAGGGACTGAGTCTCACATGCACACCCAGTCCTGGCCCCCGATCCAGGTGTGGGGCAAGCAGGCTCGGCCCAGCAGCTTCCGAGTGTAGAGAGGCTTAGTGTGGGGGGATCCAGGTGTGGGGTGAGAGGATTCTGTGTGGGGCACTCTGGGTGCGAGTGGCTTGGTGGGAGATCTGGATGCACAGGGCCTCCTTGGGGAGTTCCAGGTGAAGGGGGAATAGGACTTTGCATGGGGATCCAGGTGAAGGTGGGAGGGGGGGGTCTGGGTGTGGGGGACTCAGTGGGGGATGGTCTGGGTGCAGGAGTGGGGAACCACATGCAGAGGGGAGGGGCTCGGCACGGGTCTGGTTGTAGATGGGGTGGGGTTGGAGGGGCGTGGTTGGGATGCAGGGAGTGTGGCTCAGTGGGGGGTGCTCTGGGTGCAGGGGGGCTCCAGATGCAGGGGGTGAGGTTCAGTGGGGTGGGTGTTCGGGCATGGGGAGCTTCGTGGGGAGGGGGTTCTAGATGTGGGCAGGGTGAGGCTCGGCAGGGGTTCTGGGTATGGGGGTTTCGGATACGTAGGGGTTGGACAGATGGGGGAGCAGCTCCCTGTACAGTGACCCCTCCCCTGCGGCTGAGGAGCAATGTGGGCAGGAAGTGGGGGGGAGGTGCAGAGCTTCCTGCAGCTGGGGGAGGTTTCTGGGAGTGGGTTGGCCCCGGCTGCTCCTTGCAGGGGAAGAGAAAGTCCCGTCTCCCCAGCCCAGCTGGGAATAGCACCTGAGCCTGGTGCAGGGCAAGAGCCACTGGCCAGAGCATCCCTAGCCCCACAATGATTAT